GTCCTTTAATTCGTTGACATTTTCCAGAATCTTCTGTTGTAAATCGATTTTTAAATCGCTAGAATTTTCCACCATTTTCTGTTGCAAATCATCCTTTAAATCGTTGACATTTTCTAACATTTTCTGTTGTAACTCGTTAGAATTTTCCAACATTTTCTGTTGCAAATCGACTTTTAGTTCTTTAGAATTTTCTAGCATTTTCTGTTTTAAATCGTTTAAATTTTGCAACATTAAATGCATATCACACGAACCTTCAAATAAATACGTATCTGGATTTTCACCCTCTTGTTCCAACGCTTCTCGAAGCCGCTGCTGCAACACATTCTTTTTTCCAGTTGTTTCACATTCCCTTTCTTCCAGCTCCCGCTTAAGGTCCGCCACTTTTAAGTCCATTAACGAAACCATTTTCGCGAAGTTTCACACTAACCGCACTCCTGACACCAATTGTAACGTTTTTAACTGTTCGTAGTGTGAATAAAAACACGCACTGGTTAATTAACGAACTAAACTATTTATTTAATAACTTAACTACACTTAAAACACTATAAAACTAACTAAACACTTAACTACTAATTATTTATATATCACTATTGTTCAAGAGTCTATTTATTTGCACTTATATTTATTTATTTCTTCGCGCGTATCAAATCTCCACTGACTGCCGTGTGCTGCTCCGTTTCTTATATATTCAGCGCCAAGGTCTTCTGGAACATTCCAGCGAGCTCCACACTCTCGATTGTTCGAGCGCTGAGTCACCGGCGATGACTCATCGGCGATGACTAACCGGCGATGAGTCATCACTCCGATATCCAGAGCGGTACTCGCTACAATAAAGTAAGTAGTGAATATTGTACATTTATAACGCCTTTTGGAAAATATTGTTTTAAAAGATTACCTTTTGGCTTAAATGTTAGTCCAGAAGTTTTCCAAAGATTAAACAGTAAAATATTTAGTGATTTACCAATGGGTATCTATTTTGATGACTTTATTATAGCAGGATCAAGTGAGGAGGAACATGATAAAATCCTTAGTGAAGTAATAAAAAGAGCTAAGAAGTTTGGTTTGAAATTTAATAAAAATAAAGTACAATATAAAGTAACTGAGGTAGGTTACATTGGTCAGATATTTTCAGCTAATGGTGTCAAACCTGATCCAGAATACATACAAGCCATACTTAAATTAAATGAACCTAAAACTAAAAAAGAGCTTTTAAGTATACTTGGGATGGTAAATTATTTAACTAAATATATACCTGATTTGTCAAATATTGTATCACCATTAAGGGAATTAATAAAAAAAAATGTTAATTTTTTATGGACTAATGACCATAAGCAAATATTTTTAAATATAAAAAAATTAATTACTAAAATACCAAATCTAAAGATATTTGATAATAATTTATCTGTTGAAGTGCAGTGTGATGCAAGTCAAAATGGCATTGGTGGTTGCTTACTCCAAGCAGGACAACCAGTTGCGTTTTGTTCGCGTAGTCTGACTGAAACAGAAAAACGATACTCGCAAATTGAAAAAGAGATGTTGACTATTTGTTTTTGTCTAAATAAATTTCATCATTACATTTATGGTCGTAAAATAACTGTAAAGTCAGATCACAAACCTTTAGTTAGTATTTGTGATAAAGATATTTCAAAAGTAACGAGTAGATTACAGCGAATGAAATTAAAAATATTAAAGTATAATTTTACAGTAGTATATTTGCCAGGTAAATATATGTACATTGCAGATCTATTGTCGAGGTCGTACATTAAAGATGATGTTAGGGATGACCCTGAAATGAAGGAAGTTATACATTGTATTGATGTTGACTTACCTGTAACAGAAAATCGTCTTCAAGAATTGAGTTTCGCTACAATTAATGATCCAATACTTCACATTGTCAAAAAGTTCTGTAATGAAGGGTGGCCAGAAAATAAACGCGAAATAACTAACACTAAAGTTAAACACTATTTTAAATTAAAAGAAAATCTTTTTATTCGAAATAACATTTTATATCTTAATGATAAAATAGTAGTACCTTATAGTCAAAGGGAATTAATGTTAAAAAAGTTACATATAGGACATTTTGGTATTGAAAAAACCAAAGCAAGAGCAAGGAAAATTTTTTATTGGCCCGGTTTGTCTGTAGATATACAAAAGTTTTGTAACAAAACTATATTGAAAAATGTAACGCATGTTTAAAGTATGGTAGAAATCCACAAAAAGAACCGCTAATTCAACATTTAAGACCAGAAATTCCTTTTAATAAGATAGCAGCAGATATTTTAACTTTTGGGGCTAAAGATTATCTTGTTGTTGTAGACTATTATACACTGAGAAAAAAATGGGACAAATAAACTGTTTACCTAATACTTTTATTTGTAGTGAATATATTGTTTATTACCTCTAAATAGTCGAAATAATAACGATAAATATACTTTAGTAAAACTTTATATGTCGGGAATAAAAATATATTTAGGATAAATAAACTGTACCCTTGTCCCATATTTAAATATTTTTTTTATTTGGGAGCAATAAACTTTTTTCTCCGTGTAGTAATTGGATAGAGCTAATTCCATTAAAATATAAAACGGCAGGTGAAATTATTAAAAAATTAAAAATAATATTTTCAATTTATGGGATACCAGTAACATTTGTTTCTGACAATATGCCTTTTAATAGTAGGGAATTTAAAGATTTTTCTAAAGCATGGGAGTTTAATATAGTGACTTCAAGTCCAAGATACCCAAAATCAAATGGTTTAGCAGAAAAAGCTGTGGGTATTTGTAAAACCATGCTCAGAAAATGCAACGAAACAAATACAGATATAAAGTTGGCTCTTTTAAATTACAGAAATTCACCATTAACAGGTCTTAATATATCTCCAAGTGAATTGTTAAATAGTAGGTTACTTAGAACACAATTACCGGTTAGTACAAAAATACTTAATAAACAACCAGTTAATTTAAGATTAATGAAAGAAAAAAGGGTAAAGATAAAGGAAAACTATGATAAAAACGCAAAAAATCGAAATACATTTAAGGAAGGAGAAAGTGTAATGTTAAAAAAAAATAGAAATTGGGTTCCGGCTCAAATACAAACAGAATTTCCTCATTCCTTTATTGTTAAAGATTACTTAGGAAATTGTTATAGACGAAATAAGTCCTTCATAAAGAAAACGCCCAATACTTTTAAATTTGAAATACCCGATAATGACATAATACCTGATGTGACAGACCCTGAAATGAACATTGATAATGACATTGATAATAATAAATTAGAAAATAGACATAATAATTGTACTCAGGTTCCGAATGAACCTGATACATACAAAAGTAGTTATACCACAAGAAGTGGAAGGCAAGTTGTTAAGCCGATTAGGTTTAGGTAATAGATTAGATAGAAAATAAGTTAGTTCAGATAGTCAAGTTAAAATATTGTATAAAAAAGGAGATGTAACAAGTAGCTATAGTATAAGGTGACCAACTGTTCTGATTTAATCAGAACTATACTGTTTTTGAGGTCTTCATTCTGACTGGAAATCAAAGGTAGTAAAGGTTCTGATTTTCCTATTTTGGTTCTGGTCTGTTCTGATTTAGCTTACCATATAAAATAAACTTCCAATTTTTATAAATCCATATTAATTTATTAGGTAGGTATACCTAATATCTAAAAATAACTAGGCTAAAAACACAAATTTCATAATAGTTAATTTATAAATATATATATGGGGAATTCCACGCCAAATCGACCACTTTTGACCAACTTCTTTCGATTTTACTGAACTTTTTAAATTTTTTTCTACCCCACTAAAAAAGTTTCTTAGAATTTTTCCAATATATTTACCCAACCAAAAAAAAGTTACGAATTTTCAAAAAAATTGCCAATTTTCTTTTAAAATAGACATAACTTTGTCAAAATTTGACTAAATGGGGCGTTTTTTTTTGGTTTTGAATGAACTTTTCAGAAAAAAATACAAAAAAATTTGGAAAAAGACATTTTTTTGAAAAATTTTTAACATGTTTTTGGTCGGGTGAAATAAACTAAAACATTCTAAGAAAAATTATTAGTGAAGTGAAAAAATATAACATAATTTTAGCCAAATCGAAAGGGTCGGGTTCAAAAGTGGCCGATAAAATAACTATTATGAAATTTGTGTTTTTTAACTCAATTGAGAGTAAATAATAATAACTTAACACAGGTAGTTGCACAAAAAACAAGCAAAAATAGGGCAACACCTTTTTTCTAAAAAAAATTTCTTACAGGCCACCGCTGTTCTGGTTTTCCCCTTTACACAGTTGGTCACCTTATATAATATATATATATAGTATAGTATATTGTAATAACTAGGTACTTGTTCAATGACAGACAAGTAGCCAGTGTGGCGGTGTCATAGAAACAGTCATGTTAGAAATAAATAGAAATAGACGCTCCTGTAGAATTGAATATAATACTTTATAAAACATGAATAGTGTCTCATTAATATAATACAAAGATGTTACCAGAACATTACATCATCTGCGTATTATGAGTCCTCTGGGATTATTTTAAATATTTTGTGTATGTATATATTAAATAAAAGTGGGCTTAGTGGTGATCCCTGAGCAATTCCATTCCCGACCACTGCCGGGTCATATGTTTCTCCATTATTATCTTTTGTATATATGATCCTATGTGATAGTATGTTATAAATTAGGTTGTAGGTGTATAATTTTGATATATTCACATGGTCATATGCTGATTTAATGTCTATAAAATAAATATTGCTAGGACTGACTCCTTTCTGCTGAAGGCAGGTAACTTCAGGTTTGTTCTGTGGGTAACTTGCCGCAAGTTGCACACTAGAAGTATAGAGGAATGCATCCTGCATAAACATTTCTTAGGTTATGGTATTTAGCCGATGGCATTTTTATCCAGCGAGAATTAGGCGCGTCGTCACAATCAATATTCCAGCATTGGCAACACTGATTCTGGTGACAAACTGCGTGGTGTTTTTCTATTTGTGGGTGTGGCATTAGTTATCACTTTGATTCTCTCGCTGGGTGTTACGCTTCGCCATTTTATGTCAGTTTTATCGAATAAATCGGCTGGTTGGACTTTTCGAAACGCTATGTGTGTGAAAATCGCGAGTTTCCGTGCGGTTCTATGTTAAAATGTGTGTAGTTTATCCGCATAAGGTATGTTTGTTAAATACTTGACATTTAAATCTGTCTGTTGCCCTTTCTCATTCTGATTTGACATTTTCATATTAAAAAAAGCATTTGTGTAATTACTATGTTCTTTGCGACGTTGCACAATTACAGTGTGATTTAAATAACGAATAAGGGTTTTTATTGATTTAAATAAAAATCAAGGCAAATTTAGATAGGTATAAGAAAAGTTACAGGATATGTTCCTATGTAGATATCTCATACAATTTGTCAAAATAAAATCATCATTGAATGATTCATTTCCGTATATGTTTTATATAATTTCAACCGCACATGTTTTTAAAGTAATCCCAAATACCTAGTCTGTTTTATAGTAAACATTAAAGATATTATTAACATGTGCTGAAGACATAAATTAATAAATACCTTCACGATTATTTTTATCATCATGTGCAAGTATTTTGCATTAACCGTATGTTTGTTTTATTAATATCAAGTACAACTATTCATCTGACAAATTCAATATTTGTCAATAGTTGTCATTTGCTATAACCTCAAAACGTCCAAAACAGCCCACCGGATTGGTCAATATTTTTAAGCCTACTTTATTCCGATAAGATTTTTTGGCCTACTTATTTTTCTGTACCTATTAGAGCGAGATAAAGTTAATTTGCCAAGATAGCAATAATTGTTAATGAGCTGGTGCTGTTAATAATAATTATAATTATCGTTTTATGATAATTACGATATGCGGTGAACTAATTTAACTAGCGTATATAATGATAATAAATTTTAAGGAATTTGTGGTATTTACTTTTTACAATGGAATTGTGTATAAGCGTTTAAGAATTATTGAGTTTGCGCTATTTTGTCAGGTAGATAATGTTGACGTTTGACATTATAGGTTATGTGTACGAATTTATTCTACAATTCCATTGTATTTTTCGAGGTATTTTTATTATTGCAGGGTTATAATTAGAGATGTAAAAAAAACGGTTTTTTTCAGATGTGAAAAAAAAAACATGAATAAAAACCTAGAAAAAAAACTTAAATATACAGGGTGAGTTTTTTAAAGTGTTACAAGACAATATCTTGAAAACGGTTCAATATTTTTTTGTGAAATTTGGGTAAAGTAATGAGGACATGGGGGGACATATTTGGACATATTTTTGAAATTTACCCCTCCACCCCATTTTGAGGGGCAAGGGGTAACTTTGGATTTTTCAATGGAATGATGTATTTTTTTTTATAAAATTCGAATCTACGTAAGAAACTACGTATGTGTGCCAAAAAAAAATTCATTTGCTCTTTTGGTTACGGAGTTATGATTTATTATGTTAAAATACTAAAAAATAATTTCAATGTTTTTATCAAGTCTGTTAAGCTGCACGTTGTTGTTTATTTCCATGGAGACGCGTTATTTTAATCTAAGTTAGTCGAAAATTTTGACATTTTGACGATTAATTCTCAATTTATTATTCAGTTAAACATGGAAAGTAATTTTAATTATGATTTATTAAATTACAAATTACACAAAAATTATTAATTAGAACAAATTTATTTTTTGCTTATTTAAGAAATTGTTCAAAATGCCGACCTTGAAGTTCTAAGCACTTTCTCACTCTTTTTTTAAATGAGTTCCGTACATTCTGCAGCATTTCAGGTGTTACATTAGAGCAGGCAACGCGGATTCTGTCCTTCATGTCCTCTAATGTTGTAGGCGCAATCGCCATCACTTTGTCCTTGATAAAACCCCAAAGGAAATAATCCAGAGGGGTCAAATCAGGTGACCTAGCAGGCCAATTGACCGGACCAGCTCGACCAATCCACCTATTTTGAAAAATTTCATTCAAATAGGTTCGGGCCTCAATAGCATAATGAGGTGGAGCTCCATCCTGCTGAAACCACAGGTCCTGGTTTATGTTCTGGTTTAATAACTGCGGTAAATGGTTTCTTAAAAAATCCGTGTACATTTCTCCATTTAAGTGCCCTTCAAAGAAATGCGGACCAATAACTCTATCCTCCATTATTGCACACCAGACATTAAGTGACCATGGGTGTTGATTTGGCCGAATTCTTACCCAGTGGGGATTTTCCGCAGCCCAGTAGTGCATATTGTGTCTATTTACCTTTAAGAAAAGTACCAAACAAAAAAAAGAAATTAAATTTCTACTGATAAGGGATAATTTAAATTTGTACCTGCCCACAATTATGAAATGTAGCTTCATCGGAGAAAATAATATTTTTTAAAAATCTGTTATTTCCTAGCATTTCTCTGGCGACCCAATTGCAAAATGCAACGCGATTTTCAAAATCTTGTCCGTATAGCTCTTGGTGCAGTGTCATGTGATATGGATGAAATTTGTACAAATGCAATATGTTCAGAACAGATTTTTGACTCAGACCAGCATCTCTAGCAAGCCGCCTGGTACTGACTTGCGGGTCAACAGCTACCGCTCCTAAAACGCCAATTGCACTATTTTCATCAGTTTTATATCTCCTCCGAACTCGTTTTTTTGGTTTCAAACTGCCAGTAGTACGACTCCTCGCTTCCAGTCTTTGAAATGCCATATGAGATTTACGATTATCAGGAAACCTCTCTGCCCACACTAGTGCAGCTTCTCTGTAGTTTTTTCTACACTCCCCCAAAATCAACAACATATCAACTTGCACATTAAAATTATTTTCCATGTTTAATTGCTCAAAAAGCTTTAATCGTCAAAATGTCAAAATTTTCGACCAACTTAGATTAAAATAACGCGTTTCCATGGAAATAAACAACAACGTGCAGCTTAACAGACTTGATAAAAACATTGAAATTATTTTTTAGTATTTTAACATAATAAATCATAACTCCGTAACCAAAAGAGCAAATGAATTTTTTTTTGGCACACATACGTAGTTTTTTACGTAGATTCGAATTTTATAAAAAAAAATACATCATTCCATTGAAAAATCCAAAGTTACCCCTTGCCCCTCAAAATGGGGTGGGGGGGTAAATTTCAAAAATATGTCCAAATATGTCCCCCCGTGTCCTCATTACTTTACCAAAATTTCACAAAAAAATATTGAACCGTTTTCAAGATATTGTCTTGTAACACTTTAAAAAACTCACCCTGTATATACATTAGACTGGTTCAAAAAAATCGAATATTTTTTTTTCTTCAAAGCCCGCATTAAAATATCTTCCTAGTAGTAAAAAAAGAAGCCTGTGAAAATTGTAGCTCTTAATATTAATATTTAGAGGTCGCTCATCGTGAATTTCTATTTTACGTTTAAATAACACAGGAATTCTTTTTTCTTAACTTTGAAATTTTTTAACTCGTTTTTGAGTGAACATTTTGGAATATTTTTGAAGAAAATTGAACGTTCTACAAAAAATGTCTCTTATAATTTTTTCGTAAATTCACTCCTTTAATAGCTATTCAAGGTTGAAATTATTCCAATATGTTCACTCAAAAAAAAAGTTATAAAATTAAAAGTTACAAAAAATTCCTGTGTTATTTAAACGTTACATTTATTATATGTCTAATTTCAACCTTGAATAACTATTAAAGGAGTGAATTTACGAAAAAATTATAAGAGACATTTTTTGTAGAACGTTCAATTTTCTTCAAAAATATATAGAGTTACTTCCAATATGTTCACTCAAAAACGAGTTATAAAATTTCAAAGTTAAGAAAAAATAATTCCTGTGTTATTTAAACGTAAAATAGAAATTCACAATGAGCGACCTCTAAATATTAATATTAAGAGCTACAATTTTCACAGGCTTCTTTTTTTACTACTAGGAAGATATTTTAATGCGGGCTTTGAAGAAAAAAAAATATTCGATTTTTTTGAACCAGTCTAATATACATATATTACATTTTTCATTATTGAAAATTTTGACGAAGACAAAAAAATCTGATTTCTTATTATTTGGTAGTTTCCACATTAAAAACCAATAGCAATGTAAAACACTAATACAAAAAATTTAAGGATAAAAATTTTTTTTAGCTGTATATTTGTTAAAAATGGTCGTATTGGAGCAAAAAGCAATTTGAAGCTTAAAGTTTATAGTTTTGAGATTTTTAGATGAAACGCTCGATTCTAACGAATACCGTAATAAAAAAAATGGATTTTTTTTTTAATTTCTTTTTTGGTCCACGGAATGTTCTGACCACCAATGTAGAAATTTTCTACAAGAATTTGCTATTGTTTTTTGAAAAAAAAATCCATCCTCTACATAAATTTGAAAAATCATGAAAATAGTGCTTTTGGTAGCTTTTTGAAAAATCAAGCGCTGAATCAAAAATATATGTTGTTACTTTTTTTAGGACCAAATCAAAACAAGCGCGGCCCTTATTGGTCAAATCGGTGGTTGTGGCGAGTGCATAACGCGAGACTGTATTTACATTTAATAATTGTCATTTAGTGGCCATTTCATCATCACTCCCGGACCCCGTACAGGCCTATGTTTACTTACGCTGATTTTTGTTCGCCCCCAGCAACTGCACGGCTTCACCCGTGCTTGCTGGGTGCGAATGTCCATTGCGTTCCGTACTGTCCCCTATTTGGGGCTCGAGAGCGACATGCGAATGGTTTTAATAGCCATTCTCGGGTTCGCCGAGCCGATACTATACGCTCAGTGGGGTATAGAGGAGAAGGGACGGAAGGGTGTTGGTTTTTGGGGGACAATTACGCCGACTTAAAACTAAGTACGACGCGGAATCCCCCTAGACCAGTCGATTAGTATTACTCCAAACATTTGGGATTACTGTTTGGAGTTGGGGAGTTGTTATTTCGCTGCAGGGGTGAAGTTTCCTAGTCGAGGTCTTCGTCTTGTTCGTTATTGTCATTGCCTGTGTCCTCCGTCTTGATGCCAAAAACCATCAATAGATAGGTAGTTCAGTAGCTGGATGTAACTTGTAGCTTTTGGTGTTTTTTTATTGTTTATTGCCGCAGAAGTGCGAAATTTCTAACAATTTTTTTTTATTATTAGTTATTGTGTTGTCCAAGCACGTTTTGTGGTAGAGTTTTGTCTT